AGAGAGAGAGAGAGAGAGAGAGAGAGAGAGAGAGAGAGAGAGAGAGTCCCGCCTGCACTCTGTCATTTACAGATGTGGAATGTGGCAGTCAGTTGGCCCTGAGCACTAATTACAGACCATCTCTCTCTCGCTCTCTCTCTCTGTCTCTCTCGCTCTTTCACTCACTGTCAAGGCCAGTCAACCAGAACCAGACTGCACCCACAATCCTTTGCACCAAGCTCCAGTCCCCAGATGCAGAAAACAGGCAGTACCCTTGATTTACAAACACCAACACACACACACACACACACACACACAGAGTGACGCTGGCGCTCCAGCTGCTACACTTGAAGCTGCCTGTACTGATTATGATCCATTCACACAAAACCACCAACTCATTCATTTAATTAAGTTGATGTGCTTGTTAACTTGATGAGGACACTAAATGGAAACAAGCAGTGAGGGAGAGCTCGCCACAAACTACAAATGCCACGTTTAAACAGCGGACGGCCACTGCATGAATTCACTGAATGAGTCTCACCATGTAGTTTGTAGAACGGACATTCGACAGCCATTACTGAAGTATATTGACACTGTTTTACAACAACCCTGCTCGCACGTTCAAAGTGCTGTTGATACAAATGTTTGGTCATACCGCTCAGCACTAGTTTCAGGTGATTATACATAATTAATGGTTAATAATACACGTCCCATTTTAGAGCATGGTGGTGAAGCAAATTTATCAAATGATCAACATTATGAAACTTGTACCGATCCCAGTTTATCCATTTCATAATACTTTTTAAAATATCTGAATATCAATTTAAATAACAATAACAGCAACCAGTGACATATGGTTGGTTCAACCAACCAATCAGCCCACTGAGGTGTGAATAAACTTATGTTATTTATCTTTCTCAAACTAATTTGTGACAATTCATCGTGATATAGACGATGAATCATCTATCATCTATATGAGGCAACCTAGGAGTCATCTGATATCAGTTTAGGTTGAGAGTTTGGACTTGCTTTTCAGCATCCAGTTCCATTTCCATGAGAAACTGTCCATTGCTATGGGAGAAGATTTGCAGCTGGAAGGGTGGACAGTGTACACACCGCTGACAGCTCACGTATGACGCCCATAGGGTGCTGCGAGATGACTATCTATCACAATACTTCCCTCGTCTGCTGCGCTCTCCTCGTCCATCCTGCATACGTGCAAATGTACACGGACAGATACAGAACTTTTTCCTCACTAAAGAAAGTGGTTAAGCTGAGTAGAAGCTGATGGGAGAGGACACAACCAAATCATCGCAAAAAACATACAGCTCTAGTTAGACGAGAGCCCACGTCAAACGCTTGTGCACATGTCAACACAAGTTTGACAAACATCATAAACCAGAGCTCGAGTCTAAAAGCCTAATTGTCACTTTGTCCGCATGTAAAAACAGGCTGCGAGTTGTAATAAGCTGAAATGACAGTGTGGAGGACGAGACGAACACACACACTGGTAATGTAGCCTGTCATCACGGGCAGGTGACACCAGCCGCATTCTTTGGATTTTGGACACAGGGGTTATTTTGGTGTCAGTGCTCCCATCATGCAGTGGCGAGCAGATCACCTCAGCCACCAAGGAGGCGGGCCGTCTCTTTGGACACTGAAAGGGAGCCTGTCAGTTTGAGGATTTCATTTCCATGCTCCAAAGGTTAAGGATGTTAGCACTGTTTCCTGCGACTACTCCCCCTACTGGCCCCACCTGTTGCCTACCAACTCCAAACTCACCTGGACACCAACCAACTGTACGAGTTATTTCAATCGGCATTCAGATCTCATCACAGCACAGAAACCGCCCTGATCAAAGTCACCAACGACCTCCTCTGATGACCACTACCTCAACATCCTAATACTACTCGACCTCAGTGGAGCCTTTGACACCATCAACCACTCCATCCTCCTTTACAGTCTCGAGTCCTCCCTCCACATTACTAGCACAGCCCTCTCTTGGTTCACGTTACACCTCCACCGGTTCATAAATATCAATAAATTCAACTCTGACACAGCCCCAGTCTCTCAAGGTGTCCCCCAAGGTTCGGTACTTGGTCCCCTCCTCTTCATCCTCTACGTGCTCTCCCTTGGAAACAATCCTACGCCACCATGGTCTCGATTTCCACTGCTATGCTGACGACACAGTATTGCACAGTTGAATTGTTGCACTTAAGTCTGAAGTCAGATCATTAAACATCAGTTTAGTTTGACTCTTAACCGAGATGGAATTCAATTCTGTTGCACCAAAAAATAGTTATTTTTTATCCTCATCGTGTGCTGTTGTCCGTTTTTTTATCTTCTATTATTTGGCCATATTGCTTCATTAATTCAGCAAGCAAGTTTTTCTCAAAGGAGGAGAAATTAGAGCTATCGTGAGTAACATTAGCCTAACTAACTGAATTTTTAGCAAACTAGGTCTCGACAGCACAGAAATGTATTGATTTTTATTGTTTTTTAATGGGGTAAGGAAGCATTTCCATATTGTTTAAACTATTTCATTTTGGTTTAAACTTGGATTCACTAAACGGAAATTGGATTTGAATTGTGAGTTAGCTCTCCTCGATTATAAACCTGGATTTGCTCATTTTAAACCTAGTTTTGCTAAACTCTGATTAGAACTAATCTTAGATTAAATCTTTCCCTGTTGGTGCAGCCCAGCCTTTAGTGTCTCTCTCCCTCCAATACAACGTAAAGGCTGGTTCAGAGCCTGAGCCAATGGAGCAGCTGTCAAAGCAAATTAGAGCAGGAAAAACACAGGAGAGAAGTCTCCCTCCTCCTCCTCCTCCTCCTCCTCCTCCTCTGTCCTGCCCCCTCACCTTTTTCTCTTTCTCTTCTCAACCTCCTTCTTCTGCTCCTCCTCACTATCCCTTCAACCTTTATCCTCCACCCCCTCCCTCTCTCCCTCCATCTCCCCACTGTATTCCCCTCTCTCCTCATTCACCTGGAGATTGAGCCACACGCACACACACACACACACACACACACACAGACTCCAGAATGCAAATAATGAAAGAGCATGCATGAGCATCACTCAGGAGACCCGTGTGAATGTTCTGTGTGCATAGACACTAGACAGCTTCACCACGAGTGTGCGCTATAGATTACACACACACACATGATAACTGATCCATTAGCAGAAGAGGTATGCAGAAGTGTGTTTGTATGTGTGTCTCTGTCCTCATGGGATGCAGACCATAGAGGTTTCCGTTAGAGTTCATCCACACAGTGGACACACACACACACACACACACTATAATGCTATATCCTCACCACATAGGCATAACCACGCTGGTATGCAGTCTTCATGTGCCTCCGATGGCAACAGTGCTGGACGACTAATCCTTCACCCTGGATGCCCTCAACTCCCCGGCATGATCAAACTCACTCACTTAAAAAAAAAAATAAATAAAAGAATACAGGGCCTCCATTATCAGCCTTTCTTCTCCGTGGGTTAGGGAGTAACGGCACATACGTGGGATGAATGTTCAGTACTGAGGACAAACCGAACAAACTAACAGTGGTGATTGTATCCAGTGGCAATCAAACCGATGGACTCCGGCTGCTTTAATTGAATCGTCGATATATGGAGGGATGAGGAGACACAGGGGGGTCGTTGCTACAGCATCATTTCCTCCCCACAGAACAGTTGAGGCGATGGGGGGGGTCGCTACCTGAACTTGATCCATAGTCATTAAGAGTATCAGTGTGACACCAACAGGCGTGCTGCTCGAATGGAATTGCAAACAATCTTACTTTGGATACTTTCAACTTGACAGTCACTCACTGCATCTCTAAAATGTATCACGGTTGGAAGCACAGGGAAGAAATAATGCCTTGTGGTGTGGAGCCTAAAAAAAGATTGTATTTCTTATTTCTGGTAAGGCTCCAACTAAGATTACTTTTATTGAAGTGTTGTTTGATATGTAAGTAATTGCCTACAATAATCAATATATTGTTTGCTCAATAAAGAGTTGGGAAATAGCATGTTTGTTTACACCGACTTCAGTTAAAAAACCTAAAGATATGCCGTTTTCAGAATTATTCAGAAATTTCGAAATATGTATAAAACCAGAGACTGGAAAGCTGGAGCCAGAGGAATTTTTGCTGAAGAAAATATTCAAAAACAACTTTTGAAAATATTCAAAAACAATAATCAGTTAATCGACTTATTTGTTTGTTTGATTTAAATCTGACACTTTTGCCTCAAAAACATTTGAACCAATCACGGATTAGGAATATAATTTAATAGTTATATAAAATAACAATATTCTAGATTTCACATTTAGTTCCTTATAATTAAATAGACTATAATTGAGCGGTAATCTTTTAGAAACTTATATGGTGATGGACGCACAACACTGGTTAGAGCTTTCTGGTGTGATGTGGTCTTTTAGTGACTGTAGACTATTACGCCAGAAAACTTTCATGAATATCACAGTAATATAATGCCACTTATCGTTTAGCGAGTTAATAATATAACCATAATAATAATAATAATAATAATAATAATAATAATAATAAAGGTGGAGAAAGGTCGCACCTCTATTATAATATTATGTAATTACACTGCTGGGCATCGCGGAGAAACAATCATCGCGTCACCATAAGCTCGTGCTTCAGCCTTCAATGCGTGTTACCTGGATGACAGCTGCGACCGTCCGTGAGCTCCAGCGCAGCGGGTGGAGGCTGCGGGCGGGGTCCCGGTGTTCGGACGGGTGTCTCTGATGCTTCTCCGCCTCCGCTGACTCACCCCTCCGCTCCTAACCTCCCTGCTGCAGTGGCTCCACCGGCTCTGGTCAACCTCCTTGCAGCTGCAGCAGACGCCACAGTTAAATCCAAAGACGGAGCGCGAGGGTTAAGCGCTGGCCGCCGGCTGTCTGTTGACACACAACACGGGTGGTTTGTTTCGTACGCAGCGGCGGCGCTGATGCGGCTCACCGCTCCTCTCTCTTTCTCTCCTCCCTGTAATGTGTCTGAGACGCTGAGCCGTGCCGTGCCGTGCTGTGGTGGAGCGGAGAGGAGCCCGACAGGACAACACACACACAAAACACGCCCAGCCGGCCAGCCACGCTCCAACAGGACCCGCCTCATACCGTAATACTCAGTAAAAAGCCTCAGTCTAAAACGACTAAACAACTTCTTAAGGCAATGTAGCCAACCTGCTAGTAGATAGCAGTAGCTGGATGACAAATAGAAGCTGAAATGCTTCACTACTAGACATTAAGTTGTGGCAGAAGCAGGTGTATGAAGATGAACATAATAGAGAAAAGCTCAAACCCTACTTAACCCTCTCAGCTTGCACACCGCTCACTGTGTGAAGTTCCGCGTGATGCTGAAGTTGTTATTTGGAAAATTTCAGATCCGGTTCAACCCTCTGACAAGCACTTCATGTGAAGGACTACTTTTAAAAAGGAACATTTCATTTTGGATAATATGTATATTTTCTTTTTTACTGTTAACAGTTAGATAGGATTGATACCCCTCTCATGTTTTTCCGGTGAATATGAATGTGGCTACCAGCCGGTTAGCTTGGCATAGCATATAAACCATAGACTGTATATAAGAGGTGGACATAGTAATTGTGACGTCACCCATTGGTTTGTGGACTTCTGTTTTGAAGCCTCGAATTTGGCGAATTTTCCGCCGCCATCTCGAATTACGGACGTTGCCATGTTGTTTTTTTCGCAACCAACGAACGGAAGTTACCATATTTTGAGTAGTGACGTAGAGACGCCGTATACGGCTCTGGTAGCGACAGCGACCTGTCAATCACAGTAAGCCCGCCCTAAAGCATATTCCTCTTGATGGTCGATTTAACTCTAAATGGACCATAATTTACTAAATAAACATCATGTTGTATTGAAGAAGACTTAAACTAACGATTGAGACCATAAATTCATGTTTACAATGTTTACTGAGGTAATAAATCAAGTCAGAAGTAGGGTCATTTTCTCATAGACGTCTATGCAAGTTTTTGCAAGGAGTCGCCCCCTGCTGGTCAGCAGAGAGAATGAAAGTTTTAAGATACTTCTGCATTGGCTTCACTCGGCAGAACCGGAGGTTGCCGCCTGATATGAACTGGAAACCGGGGGAAATGGCTTTTCTGGCTCCATCCAAAAGATAGAAAAAAAATCTTTCTACTTCTTACTATTAAAGCTGCAGTTGGCAAATTTTATGAACAAGATAACGTTTTATCATATAAGTGATAATCTATGATGTGCACCGGTCAGTGGGCGGTTTTGGATTGACTGTTTGTAAACATGGTGGCCGGCTCACAAGCTTTCTCATTTTATGATTATCGTAAAAAGCTATTTTTAATAATTTAATAAATATGATAAAAAAGATACTAAATGTAGCTTTAAGGTGTTGTATCTCGTATGTTTAATCTGTACAAAAACCAGCGTATAAAAACAACATTGTGGTTTTATGGGGGGTATGCGCAACCTCGCCTTTTTTGCAGTTTTTTGACAATAATTTTGGCCTTCCACTGACTTTATTTGTGTTTGCTTTGTTTCCCTTTTTTTTTTTTACATGTGCTAATATATATTTTTTACATGTGTAAATATGTCCATATTTGAAGGGTTATTGTAGAAAAAAGAACATTCAAAATTCAAAAACTTTACAAGTCAAAATGTAAAACAGGACACTAAAATACCTGCAACGGATTGGTGAAAACGATAATTACACTTACTCAGCATGATGTAAATCATGAATATTGAGCGAAATAGTCTTTTTTTCTTTCTTCTGAAAGGAATACATACATAAAGCATGGCAGCTGACACAATTGAGGTAGAGTATGATAGAATACAACTCTTGTCATTTCAACCAAGGTGAACTAACCGCATAATAGCCGGGCGGGTTATTACAGAGTTCCATTAGCCTACATGAGGAGGTCAGAGAAGCCCACACATCGATCGTGTGTGGCGACAGTACAGTTTTACTAATAGACGCTTTGAATGGGGTCAACTGTGAGACTCGGACTCTATCAGAATGATAGATGAACTTGACACTCTCCTCCGCGCTCTGTTCGCCGAGGAAACGCTAATTGGGGAGCTTTGGGGTTGTCGCATCGCTGCGTTACCTTGGATGTGTTGGACACGAGCGCCGGCGCCATCAGTCACCCTGACAGCCGATCAATCAGCCGGCCAATCAGGTGAGAGCACGAGTGAAAAAATGGCGTGACTCTAAGCGGTGCTGAAAGTGCTCACACCCGCTGTGCACTGAACACCTCAGGGCTGTCAATGTCAAGGTTTCATCCTTTGCAACCAGACAAGGAGGCGAGCTTTCACCTGATATGTTGCTCTGGTCCAACAGGAGGTATGGCCAAAATAACGTGAACGTCTCCCAAAAGAGACTTTATAGTTGTGTTTTTTGCGTTTTTTTCAGTTTTGTCGACTGATGAGGTTCAGCCGCAGATGCTTCAGCCTCTGTGGGGGTGTGTGTGGTAGTCGTCTTTGTGAAAACTCATACATCGATTTCTTGTTCCAGGCGGATCTCTTTATAGCTGACAAATGCCGCTATAACTGCCACGCCACCGACCCTTCCTCCTGTCTCTTATATCATTTAACGGACGCCATCCTATAGTGTGAAGCGCTGAGACTATTGAACGTTACAATGTCAATATGCTTTTCATCAAAGGGCGTGCAATCACCAAAAAAATAAATGCAAGATTCAAGAGGTCTGCTGTCACTCCGGTTATATTCAAGTACAAATGCGTGAACAAAATTAACAGTAACTATAAAAAAAAACTAAAATATAATACAATAAATATAATATCAAAAATATAAGCAGCAGTGGAAACAAAACAATAAAGATTGAAGAACCATGTACTGAGTCATCAAACCAAGTCATCAAACCAATTCAAGTCCTCAATTTGCATTAAGTCCTGAACTGCACATCATGCACCCTTCACAAATAAAACTGGGAACATTTATTCATTGGCTTCTAGTTGGAGAAATTCATACAAATCAAGTGGGGACTTAGACAGAAATAATGAGGTGCCTAAATATTTGTCCAACTACTTAATTTTGATTTCATCCTTTTTAGATTCAATACTTCAATTGAATGGAATAAACTTTCAGTTTCTCTTCAACTCATAATTTAATCCGTGGCAGTTATTTTAATTTCCCACAATCCCTCACCAATTCAGGTTAATGGAGAAGATCTCCCTAAAACTGACAAGTTCACATATTTGGGCAGCACTGTCAGACACAATGGGGGCACAGATAAAGACATCAAGAATCGTCTCAATAAGGCAAGGAACGCTTTCAAAGTACTGAATAACATATGGAGGTCACAGCAGTACACCATCAAGACCAAACTTAAATTAGATCAGCTTAAATTATATCAGAGCTGTGTTTTATCCACCCTATTGTACGGTTCTGAATGCTGGAGAATGACACAAGAAGACCTCAACAGACTATCAACCTTCCACACCAAGAGTTTAAGACGAATACTGCACATTTTCTGGCCAAACACCATTTCAAATAAAGACCTGTATGACAAATGCCAACAAGAATGCATGGAGACCATCCTAATGAGAAGAAGATGGGGATGGATAGGACATGTGTTGAGAAAAGATCTTGCTGATATTACAAGAACAGCCTTACATTGGACACCAGAAGGGAAAAGAAAAAGAGGCCGACCAAGAAACACATGGAGAAGAACTGTGGAGGAGATGCAGAGCCTAAACCACTCATGGGGCACCATCCAGCGACTCGCCCAGGACAGACAGGAGTGGAAGACTTGTGTTGCTGCCCTACATGCCAAGAGGCATAAAGGGAAATGATGAGTATTTTTAATGTATGTGATAACAGTCTTCAGGTGATTCTAACCATCCGTCCAGCCATCTATCCATCTATCAATCTGTCTGATTTGTTGAAAGTCTGTTGGTCCGCGTCGACAAACGCACCTTTAACCTCCTGTTCGCACTATTTTATAACCGGTTGCTGACCTGAATGATTCAAAGTGTATATCCGTTGTCAGGAAAACGAAAGAGTTGATTCCCTGCTCACTCTTTGGGAGCAGGGAATGTCAAGTCATTCCAAGACGAAAAAGGCTAAAGTCTAAGCAGGCTCAGTGTGTGTCATGCTCACCCCTGGGACTAGATGATCTCTAAAGCTTGTTGTCACGCCTGACTTCCATCAACATACTGCCTGCGCCCACAAGGGGAATAAACACTCCGAATCACTTCCAACACGCAATTTAAAAAGCAGCAACAGAGCGGAATCGCTACTTGCGTTTTGTGAAGGGCCATCTTGCTGAGGTCAAAGTATGTGAGCAAAACTACAACGCATGACCCCGGTGACGCGAGAGGTTGGGGAATGGTTGCTCTTTTTCGTTTCTCTCGACAGACCAAACAATTTTTTGCATTATAGGAAGGGAAAGTAAAATTGTATTTGATCGCAATATCAAAATTAGGAAGATAAAAAAAATAAAGTAGTATGCTTTTATATGACTCACAAATGCTATGTAACGTTTTTACAAATATGTGTTTTTCCCAAATTATTTGACCAATATTCCAGGCAGCCCTGGTTTAAGTAAAGTAACAAGTCATTTGTGTTTATGTCAAAGTCGAGTTTCAGTCAAGTCATCACATTCATGACTCCAGTCTGACCTGAAAAGTCACGTGATTCAAGTCCACATCCCTTTTATGAAGAGGATGAATGATTACAGCAAAACAATAACTTTCGTGCATGTGGCACGTAATTAATGTATTGTGGCGTATTTGAAAATGTTGAACCCATCTTTTAAAAATGGAAAGACGGTCAACTTTAAATTTAGAATAAAAAATGAAAGGATAAATCCTTAAATGTTTTAACAGAATAAAAATTGCAGGGTTTTTAACAGCCCTGCTTAAACTGGGAGGGGTGTTGTATTACAAGAGTTACGGTAGGGTTAATAACAAACCATCATCTCTACAGTATATACAGGCTGTGTGTGTGTGTGTGTGTGTGTGTGTGTGTGTGTGTGTGTGTGTGT